CTGAGGCAGTATCACTACAGAAGTAGATTTCCCAACCTTCCTTCTGAGGAGTGGCTGGTGGGTTTGAACCGCCTGCCTTCTGGTTAACAGTCAAGTGCCTTAGCCACTACACCACCAGAGCTTGATAACTATATTGGATCTTAAATTCTAATGCACTTCGTTCATGGAAGTCTGCAGTGTATAGCAGGAGCCCTAACTCCGCTTTGAGTCTTGACATGGGTTCAGATGCCATTTGAGTTCTTTCTAAACATTAAACTAGCATTGTGGCTATGCTTAGACAAGTCTAAGGCAAACCCAGAGAAGGGCAGTTTGCCCTCAGAAAGAGTGTGTTTGAAAGTAAATTATGCTCACACACAAAACTAAGGAGATTGCCTGAGTGTATCCTTAATGATTTGCTGAAAATAGCCTCATGTTATCTAATTAAAGTTAAAGGTTGGGTCCTGGTATTGTCTTGTAGCCACCTTGTAGCTATGATTCAGGGCAGCATGGTCATGTGTTACACCCTATGTAGTCAGGTTATCAGGCCCCTGAACAAATCCAGTAACCCTTTTGATCTACAATTTTGTATATATCCCATTCATGATCCTTTTCCTGCTTCTGTAGTCCCACCTATGACAGTGATGAATTGATCTGCCAACAATCATAATTTTGTGATGATTTCCTTTCAGCCTCTGTACTGTGTACATGCTGATGGTTTCCCTCATCTTGGATCACTGTCTTTATTTTGTCTTTGTCCTGTTTAAGGCTTAATGAAAGCGTCTCTATAGAATATGTTTAAATCTGAGGTCTTTTTTCCCCTAGCACATAACTAAGAGCTAAAAAATGTTGATGTCCCATATTGCCTTAGTTCTCTAGTGTTGCTATAATAGAAATTTATTCTAGGATGCTAGGAGGCTATTAGTCTGAGTTCAGAGAGGTGGTTCTAGGGAAAGACTTTCTCTCTGGATTCTTGGTGGAAGCCCCTCAAATTGGGCTTTAGCTCTGCCTTCCAGGCCTGCTGGAGCAAGCTGGAGGCTTCTTCTGACTCATGTAGCTGCAGGGTCTGATGAACTCAAGATTGGCCAGTAGTATAGCAGGCTGCTGGCTGCTAAGACTGACAAATCCAAAATCAGGAGAAAAATGGCAGATTGTTGGATCACAGGCTTCCAAGGCAACAATTCCAGGATCAGAAGGCAACACAACAGGCCACTGGTTTGAGTCCAGGAACAGGAGACGATGATAGGCCAAAAAGAGGATCCTTTCCATGTATACTGGAAGGCCACTCCCCTTCAACTGATTAACTCCTCACAGTAGATTCCACCATAGAAGTGATTACACCACATCCAATCTCATCATGGGTAATAACTATATCATAGCAGCCAAACCACTCAAAATCACGGCCTAACCCAGCTGACACACAACCTTAACTACCACATGTATTAACAGGAAATCTTTTGTGGAGTTTAGATCACCACTTCTAGAGTCCTTGCTGCTTGGCACACTATGATTCCAAGGTGAAGACTGTACTTTTAAACCACCAAGCATCATTAACAAAACCTGTTACATTTTAGTCCTTGGTATAATTTAACTGGGAGGGAGAAACCTAAAATCCCAACTAGATTTGATTCTGCTGCAACTGCTGAGGACAAGCAAGCCAACACGCATGTTCATCTTGAACTGACAGGTTGCTAATACAGGTGGTTCAGGAATTCTGAACTCTTATGTTGTGAGTCTCCTTCCCTAAAGAAACCCTATCAAATTTGTGGAAAATTCACCCTATGTCCATTTGGTAGCAAATAAAAGTAAGGTATAGACCACTGTTTGCAATTATTATTCAAATCTGTCTGTCTATCTATCTATCTATCATCTATCTATCTGTATATTATATGTATATGTTTGTAATAATATATAGTTATATAATATGTAATAACTTATAATGATATATAATTATTATTCAATTATTATGGAACTGTTATTCTTGTGCAAAAAGAGCCCTGGTAACACAATGATTAAAGCTGTCAGCTGCTAACCAAAAGACCAGTGGTTTGCATCTGCCAGTTGGTTTTCAGGAGAAAAATATGACAGTCTGCTTCTGTACAGATTTATAGCTTTGGAAATCCTGTAGGCAGTTCTTACTCTGTCCTAAAGTGTCACTATGAGTCAGAATCAACTCAATGACAGTGGATTTTCTCGAGGGTTTTTTTTTTTTTTTTTGTATTCTTCTGCAATATAAAAAACCGAATTCACTGCCATCAAGTTGATTCTGACTCATAGCAATCCCCATTGGGTTTCCAAGGTAGTAAATCTTTATGAAAGTAGATTGCCCAGTCTTCCTTCTACAGAGTGGCTGGTGGGTTTGAACCTCCAAACTTCTGGTTACCAGTCAAATGCCTTAGGCCCTGCACCACCAGAGCTCCTTTGTGTAATATAATATAAAAGTAATTTAAAATAAAAAGTTATTCTATGTAGACTTGAGAGTTAGGCAGACTTGAGCTCTATTCCTGTGTTTGTACACCCTTTTCTGATCCTTCTTTTCCTCATCCACAAGCTAAGGGTGGACCCCACTTCCTAAGGCTGCTGAAAGGATTAAATGGGGTAGCATGTGTGAGGCGCCCAGCATACTGGAGGTGCTCCGTGAAGAGCACACTGTATTTCATCGGCTCCAAGTTGCACCTTGTGTTCACATTTTAACACCTCTGAAATCGGGCATGTGCTACAACTAATAGCATGTCAGCAGGGATTCTTTCTTTCTTTCTTAGAGGGACATAAAATAAAGGCACATTTTGCAATCAATGGTCTCTTAGATTTGATGAAATACATTATTAGCATTTAGTCCTCATTATAACTTTCTGGAGCAGCAGTAATTATTTTCTACATTTTACAGAAGAGGAAACTGACCCTCAGAAAGGTGTAGTGACTTGCCTTGGTCACATACATTAACCACTAGAGGCAAGACTGAGATCCCAGGCATTTCCTGTGATACTAAAGCTCTGCGCTCTTGCCCTTGGCCCAGGCTGCCTCTTCCTCTGAGACCACGCTTGTGTCAGTTGTGTTTTCTCCCATATTGACAGGAAGTCTTCTGTGAGGTGGAGATCACCACTTCTGGGGGCAGATGAAGACCCTTTGAGTCCATTCTCCTTGGCACACTATAGTTCCAAGGTAAGGGCTGTGCTTTGAAACCCACAAGCATCATTAACTGGATCTCTCTTTGCCTGCAGCTCGAGTGTCAGTCACAAGGAAACGGAGCCCACCTGGCATCTATTCTGAATTCAAAGGAAGCCAGCATGATAGCAAAGTACATACTTAGTTATCAAAGAAGCCAGCCCGTATGGATTGGCCTGCATGACCCACAGAAGGTAACCTCAAGACTGCCAACAAATTTTCTCTTGGGAAAACTAGTAGATAGCCACTCTGTTGGGAATGGCTTCCTAGCCTGCTGAGTAGGCCAGTGACAAGGGACACATGTAGTGGATTTTCTCCAGGCATGTGCTTCCAACAGAAGCCAAGTCTTCAAGGTCAGAGATCTGGTTCTGGTTTTCAGCGGAGGATAGGATATGATTTAAATGGTGATATATATATATATATCCTAGATCCTTCCTTGTGTCTTTCAGCTTCTGGTGGCACCATATATATATGGTGAATTATATATAAAGAGAGAGATAGAGCGTGCTCTGTTGGCATAGTACCTAAGGCATTTGACTGCTAGCCAGAAGGTTGGCAGTTCAAAACTACCAGCCACTCCATGGAAGGAAGACTGAGCTGCTTCCGTAAAGATTTACTGCCTC